AGGGCCCGGTTGCTGGGGTTGTGGACGCTGGGTTCTGCTCTCTAAGTAGAGAAAACCCGGTACAGCTTATGTGGGTGTTACCTGTACTTAGCGAATGTAAACGCGTGAGAACCGCAGTTGTAAATCCTGTTGTTCTTACTGAGGAAAGCCGAAGAAACAAGGAAGGAACTTTTTTAGACATATTCTTTTAATATTAGCAGCTTCATTAGAAAAAATGTTTTGGTGAGTCACTTTTCAGGTAAATCAAGTAAAAATTACATTTGTCTGTGCTTATGCATAGGTCCTTGCTAGATTTCATTCATTCCTAGTAGAATTTCAAACTTGGGAGTGTTCATTTATTTAAAAATTAGCAAATAAAGTTGTTTGGGTAGATGTCCTGAAGCTGTTTTCTGAGCTCTTGAGTTTTCAAAAGGGATTGTTTTGACAAACCACAAGTTTGGAGGCCCGTTGGACACTGTCATTCAAGCTTTGATGCAGCTCCTCTGTCTTCAGACTCCTCCCTGTCTTCAGTTTCTCTCTGCTCCTCAGTAGGTGTTTTGGGCTGTGTTTGTTGCGCTTGTGGTCGTTTTCTTTGCCAGTTTTTACATAGGGTTTCGTGGGTTCATGGTTTTGGTTTGGTTGGGGCTTTTTTCTCCTGTAATTTAAATAGAATTTTGACATGCTGCTGTGTGAAAAATCTCATTCGGATACTCCTCATTTGGATAAAAATACTCAACTTTTCCTCTGCGGTGGCCCTGTCACTGAGAATTTTTACTAATAGCAGCCTTAAAACATTATTGTTTATATTCTATAGCCCAACCAAAGAATTAGAGCAAAAGCTTTAAAAGTAAATGCAACATAATGCCTATTTATTGTCATCTGATCTTACATTTCATTATATTTAAAATTAGATATGCTTTATCTTTAATTACAAACATGGAAGAGAGCCACTCTAGTGAATACTACATTGTCTGTCTTTTTCCAGTTTGTGTGCTCCCACTAGGCTTGTTAAATTGGTGTTACCTCCTAACGGCTCTTTAGTGCAAGCTACATCCCTGCTGAAGTTAGTAAGCACCACGCACTAGTCTTGCAAGATAGCATTTATTTGCAAGTAGAGAAACAGCTTCTGCATCTTATTCTGTATGAAAATAGGCTTAATTCCCTCTTTAAGTAAGATGCTGCCTTGCAGCACTTATGGCTTGCTGCTGCCAAAAGTGAGAGACCTTGCTTTGTGATCTCCTCCCTCGTATGAGTTTTTTAAGATCTCTCTGTACAGTTGGGTATACTAAAACAGCAGAAAAATATTTGTTTTCTTTTCCTGGATTTGTTTTTTTCTATTTTAGTGAGTAAAATCTTCTGTAAAGAGGACCAATGAGTGCTGGAGTTGGCACAAGGTAGGAGCAGGAGCCGCCTGGGATGGAAGCGGGGACAGGCGCTCCACCCTTGAGGCAGTGGTTTATTCACTTCCCTGTGTTTTGTGTAACCAAGGCAGTGATTTATCTAGGCCTAGTCATTGTTTCTGAAAATTATTTTTTTTCTGAAACTTACGTAGTTAACGTCACCCTTCTTCCTCTTTCCCCTGTATTGCTTTGTGCCTCTTTGCTGTGGAGCACGTGGTTTATTTGTGTTTGCATGTGCAAATGTTAGCACGTGACTTTTTAATGGAGGAATGTATGAAGCTGTTATAAGCGTGTATATATGTGTGTATATCATGTGTTTATGTACGTGTAGCTGATATATAAAACCTACCACTAGGGGCAATGAATGCACATCAGTTCTTTAGGCTCAGCTGAAATACTTTGTTGTGTAGCTCTAGGTTGCTCTTAGGGCATTTACAGTATTAAAAGAGATATCGAGATTTTAAATTATCAAGTGTAACTCAGGCATCCTTGATTGAAGATTCCCCTTGAGCTTCCAAGCAATCCAAAACCAAACAACTTGGAGCACTGGTACTCTGCTGAGATAAAAACATACAAGTTGTGCTCTGAGCAAGTGTGCAGTGCTTCGCATTTATTATACAAGAAGGAACGGAGAACTGTTTTGAATGATATATTTGTTGCTTACTTCCGTGGCTGATGAACTAATTTGATAATGTCTAGACGCTCTTATTTTTGTGCTGGAAAATTTTTATTATGACCTCTTAGTCAAGATGTGATACTGTTCAGTACTATGAAATAGATAGAAAACAGTTATCTCTGGTCTATGTGAACTCTAAGAATTGGGGTAGGGAGGGGATGGAGGACTTGGTCATATAAGAACCAAGGCTTTTTACACATCTTTTTCCTTTCAGCATCTCAAGAGGAAAGATCCGTTTTGTATAGAAATAAGTGATTGCCAGAGGACAGCCCCAATGACAGAACTATCTGCACATTTACCCCAGTTTCAGCATGGGCAGCTGACAGAAAACTTCCCTGATAACCACCTCAGCAATTCCGTATGTAACAAACAATTTTATTACTTGGTAGCACTTAAATCAGGATGAATAATGGATGTGGATGAAAATATGGTTCAGAACTCTAGAAATCTGTAGGGAGCAGTTTTCTCTGTCTGGACTGTTGTGGTGGTAAGCAGTGCCAAAAGAACTATTCTGTAAAGCATCTGGTGTTCTAAACTCACTTTTGTATACAGTTAAGACTTTTCCCAAAGTGGTGTTGGAGTGACCAAGCCCTCAAGAAAAATAAGAAAATGGGGCAGGATGCTCCCATGTCAAACTTTAACCTTTAGGGGATGTAGTGGGCTTTCTTGATCTACCCTGGCTGTGGTCTGCTTGATGCACAGGTTTCTCAGTCACAGGGTTAGTTTTAGTCTAGGGTGAGCTTGAAGCCTGGGTAGTTTTGTTGGTATTGCTGGAGGTTACTCCTGTGCAGGAAGAGCAGCACTTGTCACGTCTTACTTGTGAATAATTGTCAAGGTGCTCTCAGAGTTCTTGAGGTTTTGGAAGGAAAGGGGAACTCAAACCATGGAGTTTTATATGATAGCTTTGAAAGACCTAAGCGCATAGTTGTTGCTAAAACTGTGCTCATTGTATTTAATGTGTTGTGGTAAAATCAAGTCTAGATGATGTTCTTGGGTGTGGTGCTCAGGCTCTGGAATTTGTCATGCTCAGTTCTTTGTTCCTGCTGTAGCTCTTGCATATCAGGTTTCTATGTGACACAAATGCTCTTGTGAGTCTGGGCCACTTGTAGCCGTGTTTATGGCAGTGATTCAAAAGCATATTTTGATCCCTGCTCTAACTCTTCTAGGCAATCTGGCAGTTAAGTAAAATTTTGAAAAATCCTTGTCTTTATCTCAGATCAGCATCTTGCTATATCAGTAAAAATATAAAACATTTGAAAATTTATGTTTAAATTAAGATGTAAGTCTGACTTAAGACCTTACCGATGATAGAAGCTGTTAATAAAAATAGAAAAGTGGAAGCTTTCCTACTGCATCTTTGTACTTTTACTTCAGATGAAATGAAAAAAGTTTCTTTTCATCTTGGACAGCTGAGAGATTAACCTTTATTGAACACTTCTGCCAGATTAAAAAGGCAGAGCTCAGCAGTGAGCTGGGGGCTCTCCATCCACGCAGATAACTTGGTGATGCTCCTTCCCAGCAATGGGGGACCAATGGTTCTGTTTACTTCTCTCTGACAGACTGTGCTGATGAATAATTACTGCTTGTGCTTTTTCTTTCCATGCTTAAGTGTAATTTTAGGTGTAGGTTCAATACTTAGTTGTAAAGATTTTTTTCTGCCCTACACATATCTGCCTTGGTTTTGTACATACTTACAAAGATCCTTTCCTGCTTAAGTATATCTAGCTTCCGTGGCTAACAGTCAGTGTGTGAAATCACTGCTATAATTTACCATCTCTTCTTCCAGTCACACCCGAAGAGTTCAGCCCATCCTTCAATATCTGTCACTGTATGATGACCTTTAAACATAAATGGTGTATGGGAGAACTGTTGAAGTTTGTGCCCACAGTCAGGCAAGGGGGTCTGCTCCTGATGTATAAATCTAGATTTAATAAATAGAAAGTTTTTATCAAATATGTTAGTTTTTTATCTCTTGGTTCAGGGGTATGGCTCTAGGTTTGCTATTAACTATTTTCCTGATAGGAAAAAAAAACAGCTATCGTTTGCTTTTGATACTGTTTATTCACCTGAAAGCTCGTAGTTCATTACTTACGTTTGCTTACGGTGTTACAACAGGTGTTACTGACTTTTTAGCTTCAGAATTTTCACTTTTAACTATGTCTGAGGAAAGTGAAGAGTCTGTTCCTTTGCTTCCACTTCAGCAAGAGTCCATGGCCTCTGCTCTGTTTAATACTGATCAGGTAGGATATGAGTGCACTTTGTTCTTTTAAGCAGTGGGGCTTGCGCATGTCACGTTTAGCTACACTTTAGTAGCCTGAAAGGACAACTTTTTTCTAGTTTTAACACTGAATGAGAGAATAACTCTTACAGCTCTCTTGATCCTGATCTGGTTTCCGTGCACTGTGTTTTAGTATGGCATTTTGTGATTGTGTCTTTGTTCCTAACTAGCGGAGGGAATAAAACGGCACATGTTGGTCTAATTTCTTCAGTTTATCTCTTTATGTTTGATTTTGCTGGGTTTCGTAGTGGTGCGCTAGTTAATCAGGCTTTTCCTGTGGCTGTTTCTGTGTTTGCTTTGCAGAGCTGTAGATTTTTATTTTACTTTTTATATTTCTGTGCCTAAGATAGAGGTAAGTACTCCCTCCTGCAGGACTGCTGTTATAGCGAGAAAGGGCAATGTATTCTGCAAGTGTGCAGAAACCTGAGTAGTAGGTCTGCTTTACTTGTGAAGTGTTCCAAGGCTCTGGCCATCTCCAGTGCGGTGTTACTTGTGATCATCTTAGGCAGTTTATTTAGACAGGCAAGTTTATTGTTGTCTTGTAGACTGAAATAAATGGAGTATTTTCACTGTCAAGGTGAAAAATGTTACATCTGAGCTATAATCTGTACAGAAAGAGATTCAGTTGCAGCCAGCATTTCAGAACAATTAAACGTGATCTCTTTATTTGTATTCTCCCATATTCCTGTTTCTGTTTCACAATTGTATGTGAAAACTTTATGCAAAATGCCAAGTGATTTATAATGAATCTTTCATTTAGTCAGAAATAATATTGAACCCAAAATCTTTTTCAGGATGTATTTTAAGTGAAAGATACTAAATTTATATTAAGGTTAAAATCTTAATTCTAAAAATCTGTTTGCTTACTAGTTTTAATTGCTTAATTAAGAATTTTAGATCATTTTTTCTCCTCTTAAATTCAGTTTCCTTTTTGAAAAATAAAGCAAAATTACTTAGACAGTTCTTGAAACCCTGCTGAGCTTGATCCTGAGGATGCCACAAAAAAAGGAGTAAATAAGTAAAGCATTTGATCTATATTGTTACTCTGTAATGTTTTGTAAAAGCAATTTTTTCATGAGTTGGGGAAGTTGTAAAGCTTCAACCAAGGTTTTAGCAGTGTCATTGTTTGCAGTTCAAAGTCCAGGGACTTGCACTCCGTAATTACTTAAGTGCTTTTGAAAACCCCACTGTGAGTTCCTGAGTGTGTACTTAACATCTTATCTTTTTGAGGGTGAGGCTGGGAACATTCTGTATAAAGAATCTCCAAAATCACTGTTGATTTATTGAAAAACTGCCGTGAGTTAATGAGATACAAGTCAGCAGTTATGTTTGGAAATGCTACTAAGAACAGGTAATGAGACTTTAACATTGGATGTTTAAGGAAAAAATTACCTGCGTAAGACCACTTAAGCAGAAATTCATTAGGTTATTTTGGATGCCTTATCTTCTATTTAGAGCAATTTTACAAAAAGTAAGTGATGTTTTAAAGATATTGCAAAAGGTCTCTTCCTTCAGTTTATTGTACGTTTTAATCTAAAAGCTGCTTTAGTGTACTTACTCAAGCTGAACTGTTTGTAAATGAAGTTGTTCTGAAGAGATTACTTTTATTTTGTAAGGAATCAAAAATCTTTGTCTTACATCTCTTATGTTAAACATTCTGAGGGAACGGGAGCAGTACAGCAATGATTTTGGACAGGGTAATCCAGTATAGAGTGACTGGTAAACATAAAATGGTTTTGTTTCTTTGTAGTACAGAACAGATGAAAGGTAGCTCACCCTCCTGTGGTGTTCTCTGTATGTGCACACAACAGAGAAAAGGCTAAATGCCCCCTGCTGACGTGGCTTCTTGGAGAGGGGACAAAAGGTTTGTGACACCGGGAGGAGTGCAGGCCTGATCAGTTCCTTGTAGGTGGTGTTCCCAGGTTCTGGTTTTGCTTGTGGTTAATCTTAATTCCATTGAAAGTTTACCTCTGTGCTTGTGTCGGAATTACACTCTGGATGTTTAATGTAGCAGTATCAGGAAGTCTAGGAGGCTCTTGTGTATCAGTTGACAAGAGGGGTGGAATTTCTTCAGTGTGAGAGGATACTGCTGCTACTGCTGTGAGTTGTATCCTTGGGAAGGGAGAGAAAGAATCTGCACACTTAGCTCATCACACTAAAACTTTGGGATCAAATCTCAGTATACTAAGACTGGGAATTACCTCAGTTTGATCACTGTTTCTGTGTCATTCTTCTCTCTAGAAATGTGGGAACAAAATACCTCGTGAAACCCCACTTTAATATATATTCTAGTTAGTGTACTGTAGTGGAGTAACGTGGTAAGGAAAGTAGACATTTTCTTGTGATTTTCATGGAGTTAGGTTCATAACTGTCTGTTTGCCATTATTTCTAGGAACAGATACAGTTAATTCTTAGTAAGCTACAAGGAATCTGCTGTCATGCACCCTTGGATCAACTGTAGTTTGAACCAAGGGAAAAAGCTGTCTTCAGCTTTTAAAATTCTGTTTAAAGGAAAGGCAATGTAGGCTGTTAGGTGCAACCAGCCCTACTTTCAGTTGCTGCTGGTTTTAATGTAAATGTTTTAATGTAACCCTGTGCTCCCATTCTTTTGGTAACTATGTGATGCAATTAATTACTACTGTTTGAGTCCTTGACAGTAAATATTACCTAACATGTTTCTCACTCAAGATCATCTTTAGCTTAGGTTACAAGAATATGATTGTGGATAGTTGCAGAATGTATTTCTTATGTATTGCAGAATGACCCCAGCGAAAGACGTCGCCATGATAATAGTGAGCGCAGAAGAAATGACAATCCCGAGTCTGAGACCAATGGGCAGCCACAAAACAACATCCAGCAAGTTGTGGAACAAGACGAAGAAGATGAGGAGCTGACACTGAAATATGGGGCAAAACATGTGATTATGTTGTTTGTACCTGTCACACTTTGCATGGTGGTCGTTGTTGCAACCATCAAGTCTGTCAGCTTTTATACACGCAAGGATGGACAGCTGTATGTATCAATTTTTCCCCCTGTCTTTTCAGTGGACTCACTTAGATAATTTTCTTTCATCTCCATTTCTTCGAGAGTCTAATTCAATCAGTGAACTCCCTCTTTCCTCGCTTTTCACCTCCACCAGCCCAAAGAGTTTTGTTTTATTCCTTCCAGAAGCCAGACTCTGTATTCATGGTACTATTGACATTTGTTGTCTGTCTGGTGACCAGTTGGGATAATATCTAGGTTGTAACGGCTTGATTCAAATCCTAACCCTCATTTTAATACTTTGTTGGGTCCTGTGGTATTTATGAAATAAACTCAGTCCTGAGCCAGAGCCATTTCAGTAGTACTCTGCTAGAATACAGAGATTTTGGAAAAGGAAAATACGTATTAATTTAAATGAAGCAACCTGTATGCCAAGTCCTGATTTGCCTATGCTGATGGTAAAGAATTTCAAATGCAAGAGGAGGATAGCTTTGTGAGGTTCACTTATGTTGCAGGCACAGAAACTTTCCTGGCAGGTTTCGTTTCCTGCATAGGTGGTATTGTTTTTTGGGTTGGTTTTTTTTTTTTTTTTTTTTTGGCAAAATATAAATGTTGTCAAAAGAACGCAATTTCGGTGAAAGCTGATTTGAGAGAAAGGAGACAAAGGAAGAACACTGAGCCTTTCAGAACCTGCAGCAAATCTGTCTAAATGTTCCACTGTGAAAACGTTTAGACAAAAAGATTTTGGCTTTGAAATGTTTGTGTAATATAAGCATGTCATAAAAAGTTTCAATAAAACACAGAGTTCTTTTTCACTATCAAAGTTGTTGATCAGAGAATTATTTTTCTTGAGATTTTATTTATGGTATTTTCTTCCCCCCACCCACCCCAAAATGTTTTTTTCCCCACATTGTTGTATTTCTTTAAGAAAAAGAGAGTTGAGCCCATACATTGTTTTGTTGAAATCACTGGGGAACCTTTCATTGTAAACCCACTAGATGGTGTGATAATAAAGGTCTAGCTGCAGTAATAGACTAATGATTCATAGCATGTGAGTAATTGCATCAAACAGTGTGGAGCTGTGCTTTTTGTTTGTTTGAAGGTAGAAACTTGTAATCTAAGAATGTTGGGAAGGCAAGTCTTCTAAGGAAATTTTTTTTTTTTTTTAATTTGAGTTTGCCTAATATGATACTATGCTGCCTTTCAAATTTTGCCCAAGTAGAAAATAGCTGTTGCTTTTATGGTTCTGAAAGGAAAGATTACTGCAATTTCACTTGATGTTGCCATCGCATATTGGAAATATATGTGCATTCGCTGGCATTTCAGTTGACTCTTTGTTGTTGTAGCATCTACACTCCTTTCACAGAAGAGACAGAGACAGTAGGACAGAGAGCCCTGAACTCAATTCTCAACGCCGCTATCATGATCAGCGTTATCATTGTCATGACCATACTCCTGGTTGTGCTTTACAAGTACAGGTGCTACAAGGTGAGTATAAATATATTGACTTGAGTAATAATTGTGCTAGTTTTATTTATTAGTACCAGTTATCAAGAATAGAACAAAATGAGGGGTTATCAAGGATGAGTGAGCAAAAGTAGCAGAATTGGTGCTTTAATTCGCTGTTTCAATTTTGTGGCTTCTGTTCCTTTGACACAACCCTGCGTGTTAACGCTGCTGGCTGTTTTGTCAGGTAGAATTAGGGTGGCATTGCTTCCTATTCCTGTGAAATGTACCATATCTTGACATCATCCTGTGGTCAAGAACTACAAAGTACAGACCTGAAAGCTATTCAGGACATCAGGGGCTTTTCAAGGGGTCCCCTCTCCCCAGCCTGCCCCAAGTCTGTCAGCACTGTGATAGTGTGCATGGCTGTACACGCCAGGCAATATTGTTACAGCAAACACAGAGACTCTAAGGCTCTTTTGTGAAAGACTTCAATCCTATAATGATGTCAACAAGGCCAGTCCAGGCTTAGCATCAATAATTGCAATATCACCTGCCTGGGAGGAGTTGTTTGTGAAAATTCCTGGTTGCCTTTTGGTCCTAATGACCCATTTGACAAGGCTTGGCCTAGTGAAGCTTCTTAGTCTGCAGCCAGAACCTTGAGTCTGTTTCATACTTATAGAACTGTCCGAGGGATGCATGCACTGGCACAAAGCTTTGCTCCACTTTATTTTGGTATCAAGAGAGGAAAATGTTTTTGGTCTTCATGGCTGTTTGTGAAATCCTCTTATAAAATATCTGTGGATCTGCTGGGGAAGTTATTTCTGCCTGAATCTGCATGCAGCTTGGAATAGTGTTTTAAAGTATGGACCTTCTCTTTCATCACAGTGTGGTGTTAAATCTGAACTGGAAAAAAAAAAAAAAAGTTTTCTTTTTAAGCTGTCAATTCTGTTCATTCCCATGAAGTCAAATAACTGATGTACTTCAGCTAGTTTCCTTGGCAGCCGATTGGTTCTCCTCAGGTGCTGAAGACATCAGCTAGTTTTTACTAAGCTTTTCACATTCCTGGCTTTCCTCTTGACCTTACAAAGCACTGCACATTCTCTTTATAGAACTAATTGTTGTACTATAAAATCAGAATGCTTAGACAACATAACTTTCCTGTAGTTTATTTTATGTTAATTAAAATAAATAACTTATTTTTAGAGTGGCTAACACGAGTATTTCTGTGCTGCTATACCAGAATGCTGTAAAATGTACTTACCTGTCCATTGAATTCCATTTTACGTGCAGTTCTGTATGTTGAATATGGTCTAGATTATGGGGAACGGAACTTGTAATGAAAAAATGTCAGGCCTCCTACTGGTAGTGATAATTTGCTTATCTTCACAAGATTTTAATCTGAAAACTCCTTTGAAGAAAGGAAATACTATTTCAGCTTTGCTGCTGTTAGTTTCCTATGTTTATGCTGTACGTGATAAATTAAGCATTGTCCTGATTCTAGCTCTTAGACAGCTTCTTCAAAGGTGATTCTATTTGACTAGCTTTTCTTTTTTAGTGTATTTTATTATTCTCTGCATTCTTCATTGTTTGCTTCACTAAAATCTGTCTGCTGTAGCTCATTTTAATTATCTGCATTCTGCAGTCCTTAGTTTTTATTCAAGTTGTAGCAGGCAAAGCCGACTCTGTACCAGCAGTCAATTAGTTTTGAAGCTGTTGTCAAATGAAGAATGAAAATACTTTAATTAGAAGGCAACAAACCTGTCATGATATGCTGCTAGGAAAACACTGGCCAAAATTTACAAGAAATACTTGGGAAAAATCGCTTGTATGAAAAGAGGCTGGTGATCTGGAAGATGCTACAGAAAATTGATATGTACTGAGAATAAAACAAACATCTGTGTGTAAAATGCCAGCTTATGTCAACTCCTGAAACTACCTCCTTTTGTACAGCTGACAGTCCTTGTGCAAAGTGTGTGTAAACATTTGCTGGGCCATGGCCTTGGTATTTGTCATTGTTAGCATTTTACTCTTTACTAGAATGCAGCATTAGTATTCACTTTATTTTCTTAAGTGGTAAGAAAGTTTAAGAGCTTATAGCACAAATAGAAGAACTACAGATAGAAGACGTTGTTATTAAAATAAATGACACAGCTTGCTTTGCCATTTTCTTAAAATGGTTTCAACTAGCTTTACAGAGCAATAAAATTCCTCTAGTTAGGCCACTAAGATATGTAGGTAGCTTTACAAATTGTTTGAAGGTTGGATTCTGCTTCAGGTACCTATCAGTCTTCAGCTTTAGCGTGGGGTTTTCCCCCCGCACTTCTTGTGAGTGGTGACAGTTTGACGGGCTGAGACAGATACTGCGACAGTTTTCCTGCAGCATCTTTACAGTCACCATGCTTATTACATGTGAGAAATTCTTACATCTTTTTGAGAATACACTAGCAAATATGGAAAGCCAATCTATTAGATTAGCAAGTTAAATGACAGGTTTTATTAGGTTGAAGGTTAAATTTGAACCTGTTTTGAAGGACAGACAGTGTTTAAGGTAGGAAAATGAATGTTTCAAAAACTGCTAATAATTTTAAAAATACTTATCAAAAATTTAGTATTGGACTAACTGTACTAAATTAACTGTAATAGCTCAATTCTTAGTTTGATGGAAAGTCCTCAGGTAAACATGATTCCTTTAGTCTGTGTGCATATGGGCTTTACTTTTAAATTAACCTTTGCAAAATATTTTAAAAACTGTAACGTAAGATGTATTCTACTACACATCTTTCAGAAGAAAAGTAGATAACACAATTTCTAAAGTTCCTGAATACTTTGTACATATATAGCTAATTTAACAGGTTAGTTTTCTACTGAGTATGTCTGTTTGAAGCAGGATTTCTTATCCAGCTTGAATTTCCTGATTGGTTATCTACTTGCAATGTTGGGTCTGGTTTTATATGTAAGATTCTCTGCTAGGAATTTGACAAATACATGTTTCATTCTCCGTTCAGAGATAACCAAAGTTACAGGACTCTTCAGTCTTAATTTTTAATTTTGCACAGTAATGTGCAAGAGTGGTTTGCACTGTCATCAGTGCAAAGCCTGAGTGCCTGTCATTTGCAAGTTTAAATCTATGTATGTCCCCTCTCAGTACAACCCTGGACTGTTTTTTGTTAAATTGTTGGACGTCATATGTCTGCTCTCATATAAAAATCAAGGAATATGTGTATAGACGACTGATAGAGATATAGAAATCCTTATATAATCATTCATCGATGACATGCTAATGCTGAATTTTAACAGATAAGCATTGAAGGTTTTTCTGTGTTCCAGCATTTGATTCTATAGCAGTATTCTGAAAATGGTTTGGAATCAGAGCAGGCTTTTTAATTATGCAAAAATGATTCATGTTTTCCATCTGTGTTAATGCTGGATAAATCTGCTATGCTATAATACCACTGCTAGCCAAACGACCTAAAAAAATACAGTAGTTTTCATTGTATAGAACTGCTATTGAAAGACCCCAAAGCACTTAAAATTCATAAGTGTAAATTGGAATACAGTAATGTGTATACACTAAATATGATTTTAGCAGCAACCAAAGAGAGAGATGCATCTGAATATAATCTTCTTGCTTTAATCAAAAGAAAAAATAACCTTAAAAGCATTTTTAAGTAGATATTAACTTTAAATTGTCAAATCTAAAAAAAAATATGTATTGATGTCTTTTTTTTTCCAGGTGATCCATGGCTGGCTTATAATTTCTTCTCTTCTGTTGCTGTTCTTTTTCTCATTCATCTACCTGGGGTAAGTGAACTGAAGCATTAATATGCTATTTTTCATGTATGACTTTATGTATTTATAACTAGCCCTTGAATCTTAACAAGAATAACAGTGAGTAAGCTCTTGCAATACAATTCTTAGTTTTACATAGGTTCATAGAGTACACATACAGAGAGAGATTTATGGGTTTATAGTGCATCTGATATTGTACAGGAGCTATCAATCACACATGCATCATCAAAATAAGCTCTCTTCCACAGGGTAGCTTATTTACATAGGTTCATAGAGTACACATACAGAGAGAGATTTATGGGTTTATAGTGCATCTGATATTGTACAGGAGCTATCAATCACACATCATCAAAATAAGCTCTCTTCCACAAGGTAGCTTACTCTGCTAGCATGTCTTCTGATACTTCATTTTTCATAGCCATATGACTCAAGGGCAGTTGTTTAAACCGTGGCTTTGGTGATGGGCTGTGTATACAAAGGCTGTTTGCATGGGAGTGGCAGAAAAAAATCAGCTGAAAATAATCTACTCTCCCACCAAAATGTATTTGGTGGTTTTCTTTTCAAATTCGGAAGCATGCCTTTATCCAGACATCAAGAAAAGTTGTACATAATACTTGATATTCTCTAAAATGAGCAAACTAATCAGGGTTTGTAACTAGAGTTATGCCGTGAATTATTATAGTGTATATTTTTGTACCGCTTGATGACAGATACACTTCTCTTTGAAGCACCTTATTTAATTTAATCTCTAGGGGGAGAAAATTGTGTTCCAGTCATTAATTTTTGCCAAAAGTGATCTGTGATGCCTTTTTTGGTTAGTATTTTCTCTAACCTTAATAACAACTTTTGAAATACAAGGCAATGTGTGTTGCACAAGGGGAGTGCAGGCTGGGCAGAGACAAGTTGCCAGGCTCACTTCCTTTGGGTTGGGGTTGAAGCTGGCACTCTTCCATGAGTGTGTGTGTGAGCAGAGGGACCTTCTTTCACCTGTCCCTGCTGCCTTGGCAGTGCTGGCTTCCTCTTGCAGAGGACCAGGGAGTAAGGAGGGAGTTTATAGACCAATGATACACAATGGCAGTAAGGGGCGTCCTGTTAACACTGTACATCTCAAAGGGCAGCTAACATCTAGGGAATAAAATTTTCCTAGAGGAAAGTATCATGCAAATTATAAGGTTCTTAGTGGCTTGATGAGTTGGTAGCAGCAGAATCTGCAAACAACCATTCACAACCGTTTCTTCCCTGGGTCAGTGGGAGTCACCTGTGATTTGATGACAACATATTTGTCTACTTCGGTTTATTACTTATTGAGGGTCTTAATTAGTTTATAGTATTTGATGTGACAGTGACACAGTTCGTTCAAAAAGAAAGCTTTTTACTTTAGTGTTTGTGGCAAAGAATAAAATAGAATAACCATGTATATCTTACTTTGAAGTTAGCAAAGTGTTTTCATTCCGCAGGTGAGTGGAGATCTGTCTGCATGCCTTTAAAGATCAATTGTAACCTCACAAGTTCTTATTCTTCTGAATTTTAAAACTTACGAGCATAACCAAAATGACTGGTTTTGCAGTAATGTCCTTTCCTGACAATTTTTGCTTTGATTGAGAAGGAAATAGAACATGAATGAAAATTTTTCAGACAGATGAAAGAGTTGGTGTGAAGCAAACACTGGTGAGATTTTTCTCTTTGTGGAGAATAGTTAACTACTCATTGGATATAGAATTTTATATTTGTGCCACTACACTAAATATGAAAATTAAAAATAAATATTCTGGAGCTTGCATCTGTAACTTGTTTCCATTGTTTTAAGCAAACACAGTCCATATTCTTTTCCATATCTCTTTTTTTTCTAGTGAGGTTTTTAAGACATACAATGTTGCCATGGACTACATCACGGTGGCACTCATAATCTGGAACTTCGGTGTCGTGGGAATGATCTGCATTCATTGGAAGGGTCCGCTTCGGCTCCAGCAAGCATATCTCATTATGATAAGCGCTCTCATGGCCTTGGTGTTTATTAAGTACCTTCCCGAGTGGACTGCATGGCTTATCCTGGCTGTCATTTCAGTGTATGGTAAGGTCTGGGGCAAGGTGTAATAACAGATGTTATGGTGGGAATTTCTTCTATTCCCTGACTTCTTGTTTTCCATTTGTCTGACTAGACCTTAAAAAAAGAAAAAGGGTGGCAGGGGTGATATCATCCAAAGTAGCGGATAAGGTGATTACAGACTTCAGAAATAAGGTCATGATCTAAACTGATATCAGTCTCCTGCAGATTAGTGCTTTGTGTGACTGTGTGGTTCCATCTTCCTTCATGCTTTCTGGACTTTCTAGATTCTTTGGGGAGGAGAATTGAAGTAATTCAAGAGAGGAAAAGATAAAAGACCTGTGTTGCCATTTTGATCTCTTCTATGATGGTGGAGAGCTTTTGTTTTCTCATTTTCCCCAAGAATCCTTGAAACTATTGTACATTCAGAATTTAGGAGGTTGTTTTTTGGGTACAGTCCCGTATAGGTATAGATCTGCCCAACCTATGACTTGCTCAAATTTGTGGAGATTGAAACAGCACCCTGATCCATGCCTAATCATATAATGAGAACGAAGCAAGGAAGAATTAAGGGCAATTTTCATTGCTCAAAGTCATTTTACATTTAGAAGGATATAGTTGTAAGATCTGTTTCCTTGATTTTTTTTAAATAAAAAGGAAATTCATTTGAATTATTGCATATTATGCTTTTTCAGAATGATGACTGAGAGGTACCTAGTTGTAGTTTTCTCATAAAGCTTTAGAGGGCACTGGACACTTTTGGTAAGAAGATCATTCCATTTCCCAGATACTGGTGTAGTTCCCAGGCAAGACTAAAATCCAGTTACTTCGGTATAATTAAAACATTATAGCTAATAGTATCCATGATAATGTGCTCATAACCTGAATTTTTTTGGAAGCATATAAGCATGATGAATGTGTACTCTGAAAGTCACTTGTAATGATAAAAAATGAGAATCTGTCCAGTTGTAGAAGTGCAGGGGTTAATAAGATGTGATTATCTCTGGTGAGTAAATGTACTCCTTAGGTGCCGTTTTCCTTCAGAAGGAAGAAAAATGTCCCTCGGATATATGCTCATGGATCTTGAGAAAACTTTCTCATCTGAGTATTCCAAATCTGAGTATTCCAAGCATTCAGCTTTCATTCAGTGATTACAAAACAAAGCTATTCTTCAGATTATATTCCGCGACCATAACTTGGTTGTTTTGAGTAAAGGGGAGGTAAGTTTCGAAGCCTGCAACCCCACACTAAGAATTCTTTGCTTGAGCAGAGCCAGCAGTGGTGCTGGGGCAATTAGCTGAGGTGCAGAAGGACTGGTCTGAGCGACATTCAGCTCCTGACAAGGAAGCTGCTTCTTTCAATGTCAGATTTTGTTTCAAATTAATTTCAAAGACAACTGCAAAAGACAGTAGCAAGGTTAGTATGTAAATGTTACAGCTTTCTGTCCAAATATAGAAGACAAGGGAAAAGTAGCTGAGGTGGTTTGTGGAGTTGCAGATTTCATTAACAAACCATCAACATTCAGGTGAGAAAGCCAATGGAGCATCTCAGTAGATCAGTTTTTCTTTATGCTGTGCTTTGATCTGTGTGAGTAACTTGTACCGTCATCCTATTTTGTAAATGATTGCTTTTCAGTTAATTTGTACTTTACCCAGTTTCATTTACTGTCCCATGAAAAAGAATTGAGGGAAGCAACAAAAAGCTGCTGGTTTTTTTCTTATGCTGAATATGCTTTGAACACCTCTCAAATCTATGCAAACACAGCATTTTTCTGCAACGGTTAATAAATTGGGTTTTTTTCCCCTTCACATACACACTTTTTTTTTCCCCTCTTTAATTGGGAATAAATTGGCAGTCATGCCTACTTTGTAAAATTTACATAAGCCTCAGTTACCTGTTGTCTTAGTATTAAACTTGGCTTAAGAAAAGCTTTGATTAAAGAAAGCAAACCAGTATTTCCAAGATGTTAGTTGAATAGTAGCTTTCATGGATTATTTGCTTTTAACTTGCAAATCAACATACAGACACAGATACATTTGTAGTTGCATAATATCTCAAGTGAGGAACGTAACTTTTTTTTGGTATACATATTACAGTAATATGTAAAATTGGTTGTACGACTGAGAATATTAAAAAGTATTTCTGTAGGATACTGACTTGTGACCAATGGTGCCCTAGGAAGTATATGTTAAGGGTAAGACTTTATCCGATCACCAGTCTTTGCAAGTGTTATAGAAAAACATTCTTAAAAGTATGTCTGCAATGATGTAAGATCTGTTTGCTCTTCCTTACAGATTTGGTTGCTGTCCTGTGTCCTAAAGGTCCTCTTCGTATGCTAGTTGAAACAGCTCAGGAGAGAAATGAAACTCTCTTCCCAGCACTTATTTACTCCTGTGAGTATATTTCATTTGATACTTACATGAAATACTTAGAATCACCCTCTCAGCTGAAGTTGTTATTCTCATTTTTCTCTGCTTTAATGTGATGCTTATCAGCTGGAATTCTTACTCTGTTCACTTGGGCCTCAGTTTTCCTTTCACTGTTGACTCTCAAATGTGGTACATCATCTGGCTAAGATACTTCAAGATAAAAGCCAGCATGTTTTGCTACAAAATACGGACAGGAAAAATGGTAATACACCTTCTTTTGGCCAAAGTAGTATGTCATTAGGCTGTGAATCAAGCCTATTCAAAGAGAGTACTTGTTTTTAGAAAATATTTATCAGCTTTCAGTGCTGAAATAGCCTGTGTGTTACTGGAAGGAAGAGATTCAGTTACAGAAATATTTTCTCCAGGGCTTGCCTTTGTTGATACGTTGTTTCTCCCTGCAGTTCTGAAAAATAACCTACTGAACGCTAATTGCTGTTATAACCTGTGTATCCATTAGTACCTAATTCCGCTGTTTTCTGGAGTTCCACGTTGCTAGTTGTAATCATATGGATAAATGGTGGGAGAGGTTAATCATAAATCATGATGCCTGTAAAGTAGAGAGTGTGCTGTAGACTGACTGGCTACTTCAGGGACAAGTTTACAGTGGAAAAAGGAGAGGGTTTTTTTTTTATCTGTCACTCCTGCTCTGTTTTACTGATACTACTTATAGCTGCCTGTTATTCTGTTTTGTGGGAGGAGGCGTTAACACTGAGAGACCACAACCTTAAATTAAAATACACGATTTAAGTGTGACAGCATTTCATTACCACCAGATTGGAGAATTCATTGTGATGATGGAGGCAGAGAACAATTAACTTTGATGCCGATACTGCCTCTGAATTGAAGTTACCTCAGTAGCAGTTTTAATAGACCTTTTTACTCTCAGATAAAAGAACTAATAAATGGAAAAAATAAAGAAATCGCTGATTCAGATTTTCAGAGTGGGCCTCATATATAGAAGTAATTTCTCTGGCAACAGCTGTCGCCATTTTTTTCAACATCTAGTAAGAATAAAACTTTTATTCACCAAATTTTGTAAATGCGTGATGTAGCTGGTACTGACTGATATTACTGTGCTTTAATGAGAGAAAAATTGCCTGTTGCAAAAGATAGTTGTCTCAAAAAAAAAAAGAAAAATAATGGATTGATGCCAGCAATCAGAATTGCATACATCTGAGGATGTGATTAGCTATGCTGTGTTTTGTTTTGTTTTTTGTAGCAACAATGATATGGCTAGTGAACATGGCTGAGGAAGATCCAGAAGCCCAAAGGAAAGCTTCCAAAAACTCCACTTATGATAAAAAAGGTGAATTTTTCTTTGATAAGCCTTTATTGTTGTGGTTTTAGTGGAATACATGTTTATAGAGACTTGGTTTTGAGCTTTTTAAGTGTTGTAGTTGCTGTAGAAGAGTGAAAGCATGGAGGCCTTAGTAGGAATGAGGAATCTGTCAGGACTTCAAAAGTTACTCACTTATTGTGCAGTTAATGTTCTTGCATTCATTTTTCTGAGATCCAGGGTGTTGGTGGTGAAATAACTGTCAGCAGACAGCAATTGACTGAGCTCAGTTGCTTGTCAAATTGGGATGAGATAGTATAGTGCTAACTCATTCACATTTGTATTAAACAGAAATGCGTCTAGCCCTCTTGGCTATGCAGCTAGTGTTTAAAAACATGAGGTTTGTTTGTTTACATGTATTATTAAAGCAGAGCCACAGTTTCTGAATTTAGTATGCTTGAAGGAGTATATGTGTATGTAACTTTCAGTAAAGGTTTCTATTTTACTGGAAGCTGTCAATATTGACTAAAGAACCTAATGAAATGTTAGATTAGAAAGCACATTTTGAAGTCAATCTTAAATGCTTTTTTTCCTTTGAGCTCCAGCAAACCAGACTCAGAATGAAGATGCTGAAGCAGATGACGGTGGCTTTAGTCAGGAATGGCAGCAACAAAGGGACAATAGAATAGGGCCCATTGAATCAACACCTGAATCGCGTGCTGCTGTTCAGGCTCTACCCAGTAACTCTCAAACCAGCGAAGACCCTGAAGAACGTGAGTATGGAGTACTGTGTCTGAAATACTTAGTAAATCTGAAGCTAGTCTTAGTCATCGTGACTGCACAGATACAGTATGATGGGAGGTAATAGCAAGCTGAAGAGCTGCTCTTGCTCATGATCAATACTGACATGCCCCGTAGATTGATTTATTGATGAAGTTGCTTTTTGGTAGCTTTTGGTTTTGCTGCAGAAGTGAGTAATATTGGCACATAGTAACTTCAGTTTAATACACAAACTCAAAACTTTAATAGCACAAGCTGCTTTCAGACCATTACACAGTCAGTAGCATTATCTTCTCTCTTTTTCACACAGTGTTCTGCTGTGTATCACCTCTTGGATTTTAGGCCCTGTAGATACAGTCATTAACTTTTTTTTGACACAAGATTAAATTACTAATCCACTCTGCACAAAGCAATGTTTAAAACCTACTTGGAGACTGAAATGAATGCAGAGCGCCATGGACTTACTTATTTTTCTCCAGTATCTTGCTGGGGTGCAGTGTCTTTCAAGAACACATGACATCAATATTCATCTGTTTTAACAGACTCATGGTTTTCAGTTGGACATTAAGCTGGTATTAGATTTGCAAAACTCTGAATAAATTAGGGTCTGCCTGTCTAATAAACTGCTCTCCACGTGTGGTGCTGCCATATTTAGCAGGTGCAAGTGCTTCCTCTGATTGTCAGGTGCTCCTCTGTTTAAAAATACAGACTTGTACTTTAGGAACAATTTTAGAATTTACTTTGTCCCCAGAATTCCAAATTCAGAGTGCATTGCAAATCCATTTTCATTTGTAGAGCTTAGAAAAATAACATTAAGATGCAAAAACTGTAAGAATTGGGCTATTTTAGTTACTTAACTGGTTAATGAAAATTCTTGTCTGGCCAGCCTAATAATTTTCTCCTTCCTGTACTCCTGCAGCACATAGTAATGACAGCTGTGTAGTGACCCAGTCAGACTT